CACTGCTTTCTTTAAGAAGCTGGGTGAGTAATGCTCATGGGAATTTCATTTGCACAAAAATGTTCTGAGGGTAGAATGAAAAATGATTGGTTATCTCTCTGAACCAATCAGATTGTAGTAGAGGTGGGTCCAAGCACCTAGAGGAGGTGAGACCAAGACATTTGATTGGTTGGTCCTCCCTCCTCTACTTGCTTGAACCTGTGTCCTCTGCAATCTGTTTGGTTCAGATTACCCACAAGCGTGAGTAATGCAGTGAGCAGCAACATTAGAGACTGGTCTTAACTGACTAAACTGTGTGTGTGTGTGTTTGTGTGTGGTGGACTGGCATCCCATCTAGGCTGTACCCATGTATCGCCCCGAGACCTTAAGCAGTTGGAGGATGGATGGATGGCTTTAGTAAGACTTACTGTTTGTATGAACTCTGATGTGGGCCGAGCTCGGTTTATCGTCATACAGCCTGTGAGTCCCGTGTTGGGCCTGGATGTGCGACTTTTTTCCCCAAAGCATGTTGCTTGACTGGGCTTTGGGTTATGTTTCAGGTGTGCATCATGTGTTTGACACTGGCTTCAGCAGAGCCTTCAGCCTCCTGGAGAGTCAGCGGGAGTTTGTGGAACGCTTCCACCGGAAGGAGCAGGACCCAAAGGCTCTGCCAATGCTGGCCTCAGCTTGCCCAGGTAAGGGGTAGGAAGGACGTGGGGGAAATACCGTCTGTACATTGTGATTAGTGATAGGGAGACATTACTATAATACAATACAGTAATAATAATGTACACTGTACATGATATAGTACTGTATACTCGAATTAAACTCTTTTGAATGAAAGGGATTCTGACGTTTTAACTTAATTCTCAAGAGACAATATAGCAATTAAAATATGTAACAAGGAATGAAGGAGCAATCATGCTTTTTATACCCCTCAAACGACGAAGGAACGAGGGAAAAGAAGTTATACATTTTACTTTTTTTTCTCTCTTCAGACTGACACCTCGGATACGGAGGGCTACTGTATAAAGTCATTAACCTGCTTTGTAAATTGTGATCGCTTTCATAAAACACAACTGACTTTTCATTACTGTGAAAGCTTCTGAAAAATAACATCTTTTTAAATCTTTGTGTACGTTTTATTTGTTATACTTAAAGCCTATATGTAATTTTTCTTGTTGACTGTCGGGCTTCTCCCGCAAGGGTCACATGTTGCTTCAGTTGGCAGTGTAGCAACCAGTTACACAGTTGAGGACCTAATATGATAATGCTGTCATGGGGCCCAAAATCTCTAGCGGTGCCTCTGGATTTACCTACAATTCTGAATGCATTTGCAATATCATTAAATAATTAAAATATCAATATTAATATTGTTAATGATAATTTTAATGTTTGTGTCTTTGTTGTGATCATGCAGGTAATGAATCTTTTCTGTGATCCTGCAGGTAATGAATCTATTACTATGATTCTGTTTCCCTTGTTTACTGTGAACAGGGTGGATCTGCTATGCAGAGAAAACTCATGGTGATTTCATCCTCCCTTACATCAGTACCACTCGCTCGCCTCAGCAGGTGATGGGCTCCCTGGTGAAGACCTTCTTTGCAGAAAAGCAGGTACTTGCTGTCCTGGCCAGCAGGAACATTCACAAACTAAAACTGTGTATGTGTGCTTATGTATGCGTGCATGTATATGTAATATATACACATATCACACCTGTGTGTATAGATATGTACACTTGTATGTGTGTGATTTCTGCATTTACTCTTTTTTATTTAAAAAATGAGAACTGTGTATAAGAGTAGTTCAGTGAATTGGATAATTAATAAAACCAATGAGTATGACGACTTGATGACAGTTGTCTTGAAAACAGCCTGTGAATATGTAATCTCTTTCAGAGTATTTATCCGAACGTGTAAATTGGGAGTACAGGTTTGTTTTGTGTCATCGCTTGTTGTAGGAAGAGCTTTGATCTGCTCTTTTGGTTTTTTATGAAATTGAGGTGGTGTTGAAATGAGCTGTGAGTCGTTAGACGAGTGCTGAGCTGAGTGTGTGGTGGTAAAGCCCTAAACCAGAGGCTGTGGGCTGTCCTTATGTGGCTCAGGATGAAGCCCTCTGTGCATCTCGGTAAGGTCAGTGTGCTCTCTGTGCAGGGCCTGTCCCCACAGCAGGTCTACCATGTCACAGTGATGCCATGCTATGATAAGAAGTTGGAGGCGTCCAGGCCTGACTTCTACATCAAGAAGTCAGAGATCAGGGAGGTGGACTGTGTCATAACCTCTGGTATGGAGAAACATGTATAAATCTTGCGCACACACACACACACACACAGACTTGTTTTCCCCTGAAGGAAACTAGAATAAGGAAGTAATAGGTGGATATGGATGTAAGACACTACTAAACGTGTCAACCTTTTTTTGCTGACATTAAAGACAAGCAGGCAAAAGGATAAATCATCATCGCAGCAACAAGATCAGTGGTTATATATATATATTACATTTATTTTTTAACAATATTTATATTGTTTATCAATTTACCAACATACAGCCTTATGCAGCTAATAGAAGAAATTATAGCCATCAATCACTGCACAAATATACAAAAACAAGACCTATATGAATAAAAATAGAAAAGATAAACTATTGAATCTATTCCTATATTTGACAAATGATAATCCATTTTATATTACAACAGAATTATTAATTACGGAAAGAAAAAATTAAACGAAAAGCAATAGGTTACGCTTATGGATATTGTCAAATTCCTACCAAAAATAGAGGGAAAAAGTGCTTATTTTAAGGTTGCATAAATGCAGTTTAGTGATTCATAGCTGGGTTTACAGGTGAGGTTCTGAAGATGCTGGAGCAGGAGGGCGTGTCTCTGAATGATGTGGATCCAGCGCCGTTAGACACACTGTGAGCTTCCCTCACTGTTTGCCGGCTTACGGCTTAATGTCACCCCTTAACATGCCCTAATATCCTGTCACAAGAGATCAAAGTGTCTTGCACTGGTTCTTATTGGACTTTTGTTTGTGTAGGTTTAGCTGTGTGCGTGGGGATGAGTTGATGAGTCACGCGGGTGGCGGATCGGGTGGCTACTTGCATCACGTCTACACTTATGCTGCTAGACAGCTTTTTGGAGTTGATGTGAAGGAAATCACATATAAGATACTCAAGTAAGTCACACCGGGGCCTTGTCTTCATCCTGTCCATCACGCCGTTGCAGAAAACATTAAATGCTAACCCCTCCATTAACGACACCACCCGTGTTCCCTGTAGGAATAAGGACTTCCAGGAAGTGACTTTAGAGAAAGACGGTGCCGTTCTGCTGCGCTTTGCTACCACCTACGGCTTCCGTAACATTCAGAACCTGGTGCAGAAACTGAAGAGGGGAAAGTCGCCATACCACTTTGTGGAAGTAATGGCCTGTCCATCAGGTGAGAGATGAGCCTTTATCATCACTGTAGGAGTCAGCTTCCATTTTACAGCATGCTGGAATCCTCTGAGATGGAATTCTGAGAGTTTTCTCTCAGGTTCTAGCAATATGCTTAGAATATGGTAGCCTTATGATTGCATAACAGGGCTTGGAGTCAGTTTTAATAAGCAAGCTAGTCAGTGAGAGGCTAATTTTGAAACTGAATATGTATTTTTTCTGCTACAGTTATTCTTTTACTATTTGACAACTGGCATGATAATACTTCAGAAAAACAGGTGGTTACCCAGTTCAAAATTATATTTAACTGGAGACTCAAGACTGAACACAAGGTTGTCAGCCATGCTGTGAGGAGATACGTAGATTCTGCATAGATACAGCTCACATAACTGCATGACCAGGACAGGATCAAGAAGTTGTATAAGATGTTTTAATAATACAAAATGAATTAATATTCATAGCATGGTCAATTTAGTACACGCTGTAACTATTTCTGGTGTTTATCTGCAGGCTGTTTGAATGGAGGTGGGCAAATACGACCTCAGGCAGACCAGTCAAACAAAGAACTGCTACAGCAAGTGGAGGAGCTATACAGAGCAGAGAGTCCCATAAACCCAGAGGAGGATGAGCGCATATCGGAGCTGTACCATACCTGGCTGGAGGGTGTAGGGGAGGAACGAGCCCGCAAGCTTCTGCACACCCAGTACCATGCTGTGGAAAAGGCCAGCACTGGCCTTAACATCAAATGGTGAAACTGTGAAGTAAGGATTGTCTTATGTCACTTGGATTCCCTTTGGACTGCCGGAGCTGCAGGTGAGAACCTCACCATGAGGATTCTTCATAGCAGCATAACTGAGGGGTGTATCGGAGTAAACTCACATGCAAGCAGACCAAGAGAGACAAAGGGACGAATCTTTCATTCACTTCCTCATTATTACTACGGATCTCTGTAATCACTGGGTTTCAGAAAAGTTTAGAGCACATATCTGACAATGATAGTTTTATTTTTGTCACTGGAAAATTTGTATTCCATCTCACCACTGACTAAAATGAAGTGTCACTCTTTCATATATTCATGTTTTTTTTTCCAGTTATATTTATAAAGGTTTATGCAGTGTGATATCGAATATACAATTATACACTAAAATATTGATATTTAATCTCATGATTGTTATAAACTTTTTGTACAAAAACCACACCAAAATAAAATTTTTATATGCCATTTCATATTTTTTTTGTTTTTTTCCCCATACAGTCACGGGTGAAACAATATTATCTCTTGGTTTCAAGCAAGCTTCTTGTAACATTATTCTGTGGTGTTCATGGAGAAACTACACTGTAGTTATGGAATATTATTTATCATTATGTAACATAGAATATAATATTATGATATTATTAAAAAGTATACCAAATATCCATAATGTAATCATTACAATGTAAACATTATAATGTAATCAACACTATGTAATCAATTGAGTATGTATTTGCACCTTGTATTAACCCAGTGGTTCCCAAACTTTCTCTGCAGGGCCCCCCTTTTCTAGATAGGAACATTATTGAGCCTACACCAGCGGCTTCTGACTTCTGATTTGGCGGGGAAGGAAAAACCACAACATAGTCACAGGTAGCTTAATTGTCAGTAAATTAGATCAGAGTTATGACCATCAGTGTAGTACAGCTATGTAACTTGTTAGTATGAAGGTGGTGATATCCAGTAATGCTCTGCACCAGCTGATCCAGTAAACGGTTTGGTGCAGCCAAAGCCTATGGCATGTAGCACTGAAAAGGACACTCATCCACTGCAGGGTGGACTAGCACCCATGCTATGGAAAATTCAGTCACCAATGTACCTAGTTATCGTTTTGGATTTTGCAGGGGAAACCTGCACTCGCCGAACCAGGACAGAATTAGAACCCACAACCTTGGACCTATGAAGCTGTAGTGCTACCCTGAGTAATGGAAATACTTTGGATAATGTATATTTTAAATGAATGGCTCAGACAGGACTGCTTTGCCTAAGATGTGTACTTTTTTAGTTTAGGAATTAAAAATAAAACTAAGCCAAAAATGGATGAAACTAGCCTCAACCATAATTTGAAAGTGTGTTTAGGGAAAAATGTCCTGGTGTTGTATAGAAAGTAAGTCAATGGCTCCTGTTTGTTACAAGGTTATTTGATAGTTATGGCTGTGTATTTATCATCTGCACAGAAATACAGATGCAGTGTGAATAGTTGGAGGATATGTCCATATTTTTCAATGTTAGTTTAATTTTTCTAATGTGTAGTCTATGTACACATTTAGTCTTTGGAACATTACATCTTCATTGACATGATGAACATTTTAAATGTTTAAACAGCCTATTTGGAGTTTTGTGAATTTATATTTGTATTTAAGCTGATCAAGTCAGTTAGAAAGCCACAGCTTTGACAGCAGCTAATTATTTTGAGCACTGCAAGGCTCAACTGGTGAAATAGTTTTCCAGCATTCTAACTAATTCTTAAAACAAGCCAAAGGGGTTGATGTAAATGAGTTAGTCAAAGTTTTGACCTCATTAAGGCAGAGAAAAGTATTGCATATACATGCCAAAAACCCACATCTTTTTATTGGGACTCAGAAACTGTGAAGGATCATCAGAAAATGGTACTTATAGACCACACCGCAACAGTAAACAGAGCATTTTATTAAATATAAGTATGCAAAACAGAACAGGAATCCTAATCCCAGATTTTATTATGAATGAAACACTATGTAAACACTATGTAAAGAATTTCAAATGTGCTGTGCTTCTCCTCTATGCATTCTGCTTCTCAAGGCAATAATCATATTTCCCCATTGTTCATATACTCAGCCTCCTATTCAAAGATATATATACAAAAAGTATTTTTTCCTCACATATGCAAACTGTTTATCATAAAAACTTGAAAAAGGATCAAGTGAAAAATTCTGATGCAAACAGCAGAAATTCTGTAACTATTCTATAACTAACAGGATTAAACACGCCTGTCTTCATGACCTTCTTCAGAGGGCTTCTCTGGTAAAGCTTTGTTTCACTTCCCCAGGGTCAGCTAGTGTGCAGGACAAGATATTCCCTCTAAAGCCATTTCGAGTCTTTGGAGAGGGAAGAATCTACAAAAAAGTATACAAATACCTCTTTTTAATTTTATAAGTTTTATCAAATATTTTGGCTGTGATGTAGGGCGGCATGGTGGTGCACTGGTTAGCACTGTTGCCTCACACCTCTAGGACCAGCGTTCAAGTCTGTGTGAGTGGAGTTTGCATGTTCTCCCCATGTCATTGTGGGGTTTCCTACAGCCTAGGTAGTCTGGTTTCCCCCCACAGTGCAAAAACATGCTGAGGTTAATTGGAGTAATCAAATTGCCTGTAGGTGTGAATAATGATGGAGTGTGCTCTTTGATGGGTTGGTGCCCCGTCCTGGGTTGTATCTTACCTTGTGCCCATAGGCTCCAGACCCCCAACCCTGAGTAGGGTGAGTGGTTTCAGAAAATGGATATTTAGGCTGTGATGTAATAATTATGTCTATGGTAACCACTGATTTATTATGAGAAAAAACTGAAATTATAAAATATTATTTGAACATAATTTGAGCTGCATCCATCCATATTCAAACTGGTCAGAGTTATGAGGGGGAAACGGTGTGATACACCCTGCATAGGATGCCAGCCCTTTGCTGGACACATACAAACATTAAATCATAGTTCAAGTGCACTTTACAAACATCACTTATCCTAACTGCTTGTCTTTTCATGTCTCCTGTAATATTGGGGACTACATGAAATCTCCACACCCACAGAGAAGAATATTAACACCCAACCCTGCAGGAGTGTGATAACAGTGCTGCCTACTGAGCCACCTTTGCAAACTGTGCAATACACCAGAAATAATAAGAGACAGAAGATATAACTCTCACATAAACCTTATTACAACTACAGTTAAAATATACAGTCTCTATAGCACAATTCAGGTTTCAGGCTATATAAAATTCATGATTTTTTTAAACCTAAAAAGGTCCAATCTGCCCATAATTAAAAGATACGTTTCACTACTTGAAAGCTGATATTCGATTGCGGGAAATACCTATACCACTATAAGACATATACCACTACTATCCATATTCACATGAAAAGGTATATCAATAACACAAAACATACATGAATTCAGTTATCATATGAAGGAATGTTTTTGTTATGAATGACTATGTATGATTTCAAATACAGTTAATTTCAAACCTTCAATAAGATTTTGCATCTTTCTAGTAGGAATTTCCATTTCAGAGCTATTTTTTCTTGTTCTTTTAAATGCACAAACTCTTCAGCCTGCCAGAAATAATAAAGAAATAGCCTTTTCTCATATATAATTGACTCAGTGAATATACAAGTATTTTATATAACACATCAGGATGGAAATATACATGCAATATGGGCCAATATTGGTTTAATCAATGTTAAGATATTTTAATATATGGAAAATGTTCTTCCTAATGCAAAAACAAATTTTTGCATTAATTATTGCTTATCCATAAGCAAATTCAAGTCACCAATAAACTGCATTTATTTTGATTATGATTGGAACAAGAACACCTAGAGTTAACCAAGCAGGAATATGAGAAAATCATGGAGATAATAGAGAAACAGCTCTGTGTGATTTAAGAGTAAGATTAACAATCACTGCCACTTATGTTGCCGCTCTGTGATAATATTTTTACCTAAGTTTACCTTAAACATCTAAACATATTACTTTACAAATAAAGGAAAGAGGTGTGACTTCATAATGAATAATAAACTGACACACCGATACATATTTCATAACAAAAAAATAATTATACATAAGGACTAGCTATAATTCAGATGCTAAAGAAAAATCAGTCTCAGTTAAGAGGAAGTGGCCACAGTTAATTACTAGCGTGTCATACACAATAAACCTATATCACTCACTGAGTAGCCCAGAGTTTGTTCAGCAACAGTGCCAGACAGTGTACAAGACTGCAGGGTGCCCGTGTGGTCAGTAATATCCACCAGTAAATCAAAGCTGGTGGTGACCTCCAGCTGTGCCTCCCTGGGACACACTGGATTACTGCAGTTTTGCATGTCTTCAGATACCTGATACCAACATCTGGAACTAAAATGTGGTATTAGTCATGATATTCAAAATGGATCCTACACCTCTATAATGACCAAGACTAAAAAATGTACATATTCATGCATTATATATCTCAGTTTAAAATGCCATATTTTTCCCATGTACTTGAATCAATTATCAGAAAACTTCTAATTTAAGATTGATTTGAGTACCTTATCACATTTCACAGCCAAAGGAATGATGCTAATGATGCTAACTGGAACACCACCTGTCTAACCATAAACCTACATCCACTTGCTAATGCACCACTACTATTCATTTACTTTATTAAGCAATTATTTTCAGCAGCTTCGTTTCTTTGGCAAGAAAATAATTCAGCTCCTGTACACCTATATAAATTGTACAATAAAGTTCAGAATAGTACACTAAACTGAACACTTATCTGGGGATTCCTGGGATGAGCTAAGGTGCCAGAATCCCTCTTTATGAATATCGGAGTCAGGATGACCAGATAATCCATGTCAGAGAGGACATTGTAAACTACCATTAAAAGGACCTGGATTTAACTTAAGCACCGAGTTCTTGTAGTTTCTAAAACCTGAAGTAGCGCAAAGTGTTCTCCCTGATATGGATTATCTGGTCACCCTACTCAGAGTATATACATTGTCATTTCAAATTTTTATTTAAAATTTAAGAAAGTCATGCAGGGATCATGCAATCTAAATAGATAAGGCAATGAAACAGATATTCAAAACACGGGACGTTCTGTATTTTTGCTTTTAAAATACATTTATGACATACTTCACAGTGCATAATTCTATTGAGGAACATTAAATATACCAATATTTACCATCTGTTTCGAATCACTTTAGAAACAGAAGCATCAAGATTCAATGTAGTGATGAAGGCGTATACGATTCCATAAATGATGTCTTGCTTGTCAAGGTTTTTCTGGATGCTCACTTTGAGCTGTTCCACAGTAAATACATCACTAATAGAATCCACTGAAAAGGTGAAGTTGCTGTGAATATTTCAGAACTGTAGCAAGGTACCAATTCTGCATAACATATTACATGGTTAAGTTTGAATATGAAATACAACTTACAAGACACCTGATCTCCTGAGAGTTTCTCTTGATCATCCAGTGCTCCAGTTCCTGCAAAGTCTCTGGCATACTTGAACAGCTGAACAGCTTCTTTTGTGTCTTATTATTTGAGGAAAAAAAACTAATTACATTTTACCTATACTTTCACATTCAGTTAATAATTAAAACTTACGTTAAAGTTAATTGGAAAAGTCAGATAAGTCAAAGTAAGATCTCTTCTAGTGGCTTTCCTATACCCAAGTGCCTTTCAAGATCTTACCAGGATTGACAGTGATGATAGTTTTTGAGATAATTGTTGCAATCATGCTTTTTCGGAAGTTATCAAAAGTGACACGTGCATCTGCAACAAAGAGCACTAAAAGCAAAAGGAGTGAGTTTAAAATTATCTTTTAAAAATTACATTTTAAAAATGTATAAATATAGAATGCCATCCTACCTGTTTCTCTGGGTATCCATGTTTGAATATATTGAAGATTTTCCCTGTCCCAACTAAATCAAATATAAAATATTCATTGGGGTGCATTGAGAATGTGCACCATCTTGCAAAAGTAGCACAGGTACAATCAGTGATCTCACCAGATCAAACAGAAAGACATAATAACTTCATCAAACAGCTTCACTTCACATCTTTGTCCTTTGCGTCCATCACCAGTTGTGAAATACTTAGGTTCTCCAATCTATGGCACAATAAAAAACACCTTTCAAGCACTAAATCCAAAATAAATGACATTTCCTCCATCTCTGGCTAATGACAAAAAATCATCCTCTGGGAACACTGAGAAGAGTCATAATTTCTTAGGGGATTATATTGCACTTTTGAGTGAATTCAAGTAGTCTTAGAAGTTAGATCCCCTTACCGACTGAACAACTGCAAGTATATTAATTACATTTCCATCCAAGCTCTGTCCATTTGCAACAATGTCTCCCAGTGAATAAAAATCTCTGTGATCTTTCACTGGCAGATGGAATAAAGAAAGGAGCCTGGAGTCAGCCTCTGTGTCTGAAAGAACCTTGATGGCTGAGTGATTTTCAGTCAGCAATAACCTATACAGGCTGAAAAGAAGAGAGTATACTAAAATCTACTTCAAAATCATCCAGCTATGAATTTTATATGTTAAGCAGAAATTATTAATTTGACAGACATTAATTTAATTTAATAAAAGCCTAAATGACTATTAAAATTTAAAATTTTTACCTTAACGTTGAAGGGCAGAATTTATCATCTTTTTCTGGATCTTTGGTGACAGTTAAGGGCTTCTCAACAATAACTTAAACAGAGTAAAAAACTGTTAATTATAATCAATGATTTGCTAAAGAATAAGGTTATCATGACAAAAATCTTGTAATTTTGGGGAGCAATGTGTGATAAAGAATTTTTAAAGAGTCAGAATTTAAAACATCACTAGGGAAGATTGCAACACTGACCAGGATAAGTGATCAGATGGGATGGATAAAATTAGGAATCTAAAACATGTCTTGCTATGTAAAGTATAAAATAAACATCTGTGCACTAACTAAATGTATGTATTCTGGTGTATTCACATATTTAAATTTCACTTAACAAACAACTGCCAGAAATATTCTTTTTTTGTTAAGCAAAGACCACCCATATTTCGACCACTCAAAATATTATAGTTATTACAAAAACGAAAAAATCATAGTACTTCAAAACAGTACAGTAAAAACAAGTCTCACCACAGTCCCCTATTCTGAAGCAGCTTGACAGGCCATTGATGTATTCCTCAGTACCCCATGAGGAAATGTTGATTAAATGTTCCGGTGAGTCTTTAATGGTAAAGCTGAAGGTG